ACATCATTTCTCTGTGTCCATGTTGGAGAATCAGTACAAAGGTGGCAAAAGAAAACTTCAGGCAATTTGAGTATCGTACTGATTATATGTACTTTTTGCCTTTCAAAGTCGTTATTGGAAGCAAAGAAAAGACTCTACATGTATTGTGCAGTGTCCTGACTGCACACCATGAGGATAAAACATCAGTGCTTTATCGTGATCTTTCTTTGTTCATAGTTTCTTAGTCCTGTTCTTTTACACCTGTTTACATTTTACAAGTACTTTGGTATAGCTATTAATTCTGTCATATCAACAATGAGAATACTATTAGTCATAAAATAGTAATCCATCAGGTTTCACCTCTTCCAAAAAAAGTTGGATGACAGCCTTGCAACAATAGGATGACTGTTTGAACATTTACAATCATTATACAAGCTTCACCTCTGTTTTCCTAACAGATTATTTGTATTATTAAAAATTACTTAAGCTGTAGTGAAATATGTTTTAGACAAATGGCATCTGTAACTTTAAAACAACTAGAAAGGAACATCTGACAGATTCTGGTATAGCTGTAGCCATGTAAGAGTAGTTTTAAAATCTTTTCTGTAGAGTTTCTGTATTGTTTATCTTGTACTATCTCAGCTTATAGGTAATGCCTGTTTCCCATTATTGACCTTTATGTTTATTGTCAAGGGTCATTAAGATCTTTTGAAATAATATGACATCATTTAATCCTCTTCCTTTCTGTGTATAAATCTCTGATCATCGGCTTTTTCAAATAAACACTGACACAAAAGGAATCCAGAACCTTAGGGCTATAACTTACCTTCTTTTCTGTTTCAGAAAGCATGAAGGGCGCTGTTGTTTTTTCTAATAATGCACAGACCCTGTGTCATACAAATACACAAGCAGCTTTGCACAGGAAAAGAAATGATACATGGCTATCCATCTTTTAAATTAAAATTATATTTAGTTTCATCACGGAAGTTTAAATTCCCACTCTTTATATTATAAAGTGATGAAGAAAGTGCAAGTTTGAGGTCTCATTGCATTTTTCTATAGAGCTGCCTTTCAAGTAGTACCTCATGTAATCTAAGTTCAAGGCGGAGACATGGATGGAGCACAGGACACTGCATGGAGGTGTTGTTAACAGCACCAAGATTGAGTTCAACTCTGAACTTTGCTTATACAAAGAACACATAGTTTTCACCAAGTTAAAGTATTATTCCAGAGAATTTCTACTGAACTAAAATAATTTATGAAATGTTTTTGTCCTGAATTATTGTAATAGGATTCTAATTTTAGAAGAGTTTGATAATGGAGTAATACAGACTCTAAATCCTTTCATCTAAGAAAGTTGTAAATAAATTAGTTCCAAGAATTCAGGATATAATTAAAATTATTAGCAATATTCAAGTAGCTGTAAGACAAAGGTCAGTAGTCGATAAAAGGTTACTGGCCCAATCATCATTTTTTTCCTTTAGCACATTTTCATACTGTTCTAAGTTAGGAGTCACTGACGAGAAATGGGTCAGGTTACCACCAAGGGCTTCCGCATTAAGTGACTTAACCTCAGTCATTAAGGGTTAGTGGCTCTGACTGCTTTGCAGACTAGTCCTCAAAAAGTGAGGCACTGCAGCACTGCTAGTTCAGGTGAGGCAGCACAGTGAAGCCCTTCAAAGTTCAGGGTTACTGCAGTAAGAGAGGTGCTTGTTGGAAGCCCCTCAGCTACCATGTCATGCAGAGGTCAACTTGGCAATATAGACACGGGTTTACCCTCCCTCTCATCAAGTCCATTTATATCTGTGTTCCCCAAAAAAATGCCTTCCTCACATGAAGCCATGTCACCTCTTCATTTGGTTCTCCACACCGTTCTTCAGTGGTGGAGAAACCAAGAAGGACAAGTAGACCTGGGTGGACCGTTCGGTGGATAAGGAATTGGTTGGATGGTCACAGCCAAAGGGTAGTGGTCAATGGCTCAATGTCCGGATGGAGACCAGTGACAAGTGGAGTCCCTCAGGGGTCCGTACTGGGACCAGTGCTGTTCAATATATTTATCAATGACATGGACAGCAACATCGACTGTACCCTCAGCAAGTTTGCAGATGACACCAAGCTGAGTGGTACCGGTTGAGACACCAGAAGGACGGGATGCCATCCAGAGGGACCTGGACAAGCTGGAGAGGTGGGCCTGTGTGAACCTCATGAGGTTCAACAAGGCCAAGTGCAAGGTCCTACACCTGGGTCGGGGTAATCCCCCTATCAATACAGGCTGGGGGATGAAAGGATCGAGAGCAGCTCTGCTGAGAGGGACTTGGGGGGACTGATAGACGAAAGGCTGGACATGAGCCAGCAATGTGCGCTGGCAGCCTCTCCTATGAGGACAGGCTGAGAGAGTTGGGCTTGTTCAGCCTGGAGAAGAGAAGGCTCCGGGGAGACCTGATTGCAGCATTTCAATAGTTAAAGGGAGCCTATAGGAAAGATGGGGACAATCTTTTTAGTGGAGGCAACAGTGACAGGACAAGGGGTAATGGTTTTAAACTAAAGCAGGGTAGGTTTAGGCTGGATACTAGAAAGAAATTCTTTACAATGAGGGTTGTGAAACACTGGAACGGGTTGTCCAGAGAGGTAGTGGAGGCTCCATGCCTGGAAACATTCAAGACCAGTTTGGACAGGGCTCTGAGCAACCTGATCTAGTTAGCAGTGTCCCTGCTCGCTGCGGGGGGGTTGGACTAGATGACCTCTAGGGGTCCCTTCTGACCCAAAACTTTCTATGATTCTATGATTCTATGACCTGTGGGGACTAGGATCATCATTGTCTTCTGTTTCAGAAATTTTCTGTTTTAGAAATATTAGTGGAAGAAATATATATTCACGACATTCAAAGTCTTGAATTCATAAAACTTACATATACTAGAGATGCCAGAGGTACTGTTCAAGATTTATCATCACTCTTACTGACGTCTTTACCATGGAGACAAACCTCTGGCATGAGAAATTACGGGGTTTTTTTTTCACTCAAGTATAGTTACAGTCCTCCCAAAAGAGACAAATGCCAACGGTGTCAGTTGTGACAGATTTCTATTGCAATGATCATGAAGTACTGCAAATCAGCTATTTGATGTCAGCCACAGGCTGAAGTTAGAGGTGTTAAATATAACTTGTGCTGCACCTGAACTGCTGAACTAGGAGCTGACTCCTTGAGCCACCCAACTGCTTGGACTAAACTACTAAAGTAAGGTTAAAGATTAAGGATCTATAGTTTTACCTTTTGTTAGTGTTCTCTTTTAGACAGCAGAATAGAGCCTTGTATAAATTGGTTTAGTGCCCTTCAGTGCAAGCACTGAATCTCACATACTCCTGTGCATGTGTTTTTCAGTAAAAGTACTAAATTGTTCCTACTGCAGTCTATGCAACAAGCTCACAGGCTGAAATTTTCATCTAGCATCTTTTTTCTGGCCTGCAGAGGTTGCAGTCTAGTCACTTTGCATACGAAAACCATTATCTCAAACACTTCCCCACTTTTGTTCCCGCTGTCCCCAGCACGCTGCTGTGCCGCAGCATGATACGTACAGTACAGCAGCTTTAAAAACATCCCCAAATGCCCCTACAACTCCTCTGATCTCCTCCACATTCAAGTCTGAATTTCACTGAAATTCAAGCTGGGCAGGGCCCTTTTCGCACAGCCTGTGCACAAACAGAGGTAACTGGCTGGTTGAAGCTGGAGCTGATCCTCTCTTTGCTCTCGGCCTCCTTCAGAGATGCCTTTATTCTCATCTTCCTAAAAAAAATCATTTGAATTACTGTAGAACAAATAAATAACTGCTTCTAATGAGTAGCATCTCAGACAGGTAAACCATGCCTATGTACTACCAGCTCACGGATTTAAGCTAACACACCTTCATTTTTATTTTAGTTGGGTAGGATTCAGCAAAGGATCAGCTGCACAGATACTGCAGTAGATTAATGATAATTTAAGTAGTAGTAACTCTCTCACTTCTGTCTGCCCATAATATGTTTGAATTATCCCGCGCCTAACTGGATCAAGCCAAAGCTGAAGACAACAGCCTTCCAGAATAAGTCTCCATACAAACAACTTTTCTGAAATAATGTGAAGTAGCTCTTTTGATTGTTTGGGGTTTTTTACATAAATAAGCCCATACCACACATTCAACATGTTGTCATGCTAAATTCCTAACTCACTACAGCTACATGCAAAAAGCAGAGATACCCTGTCCTGACACTTTTCTTCTCAGTCACAGCCACTGAACCGTGCTGCAGAAGACCCTGCTGTAGAGGGAGCACTAGTGGCAGGTTTCAGAAGTGCCCAAAGGGCACACCAGACATATGCTGTCCTCCGTGATGCATGCTGTGGGGTAGATAAGTAGAACTGGGGAAGTGTCTCTGTAATCTGTTGCTGCCTGTCTGATACAAGCAAAAGGTTGATCCACATCCACCTTGAAAACTGCATGCAGAATTCTGCCATCTGTCTTGATGGGGGCCATCAATTTAAGTAAGATGTCTCTGGAACATGCAGAAATATTTCAATAGCTTGATGTTTTAATTGCACTTCCAACTTTTTGTTACTTGGTGATGAGTACTTCTGATGGGAATTTTGTGTACGAACGCTAGTATTTGTCCCAGCACCTCATTTCTTACACACCGTATGAGGGGTCTGGCAAAGACTGTTCAAGAGTGGGAAATTTACTGTTGTGTTAAAGTAGCCCAAAGAGAATACAGATGAGATTGGGTCCTTAAGCACAGATACAGTCCCTACCATTAAAAGCTTCCAAGCTAAGAAATACAAGACAAAGGAGGACATCTTAACCAAACTTGTAACAGGAGCTAAAATAGAAAGGGCTGGACTAACATCTGTGGGCAGTCTGCATTTTGAATCAGGAATTGACCTAATTATTTTGTGTTGATAATATGATCTTAGCTTTCCATTCTGAAAGACGTTTTTGCTTCCCCATAGCATGTAAATATTTGCTTATTGATCCTAATACTTTGTTATCTTTCAGCCTCACCATACAATGGCAGCATAGCACGGGGCAGAAGTTTTGTACTCTCTTCTGTAAGTCACCAGGATGACCCTATACCTATTGAAGATGACACTGAAAATGACTTGGAAGTTGGATCAGGAGCCACCAATCAGACTGGATCGTTCCTACATGAACAACGAGCAGTGTCGGTGCAGACAGCAAGATACCTCACTAGTCCATGGCTGACGCGTTTTGTTCCTTCAGTTTACACCTTAGTGCTTGTGCTGAGTCTCCCTCTGAACATTACTGCAATACTTGTGTTTCTGAAAAATATGAAAATTGAAAAGCCAGCAGTAATATACATGCTGAATTTAGCCCTTGCAGATGTCCTGTTTGTAAGCGTGCTTCCTTTTAAGATTGCATATCACTTTTCTGGAAACGACTGGGTTTTTGGACCTCAAATGTGCCGTTTCATCACTGCTGCCTTCTACTGTAACATGTACTGTTCAATAATGCTTATGACGAGTATAAGTGTTGATCGCTTCTTAGCAGTGGTGTATCCCATGAAGTCTCTTGGGTGGCGTACATTAACACGTGCATCGCTGATTTGTTTCATCATATGGCTTGTAGCAATAACTGGGGTTATACCTTTTCTCATCAGAGAGCAAACGATCGAAATACCCAAGTTAAATATAACTACTTGCCATGATGTGCTAAGAGAATCTGAACTTCGCGGCTATTACCTCCACTTCTTCTCCATCTTCTCTTCTGTGTTTTTTGTAGTGCCATTTATAATTTCTACTGTCTGTTACATGTGTATCATCCGATGTCTTAGTTCTTCCACCATTGTTGCACAGCAAAATAAGAAGACGCGTGCCTTGCTCTTGTGTGTAGCTGTTTTTTCTGTTTTTGTTATTTGCTTTGGACCAACAAATGTCCTCCTATTAATTCATTATATCCATTTTTCTTATGACGACAGCTTAGAGTATCTCTACTTTGCCTATCTACTCTGTGTTTGTATCAGCAGCATTAGCTGTTGCATTGACCCCTTTATTTACTACTATGCTTCTTCTCAGTATCAGAGACAACTTTTCAGTCTCTTCAATTGTAAAAACACTTTTGATCCTAACAGTAGTAACAGCAGTGGCCAGTCAATGTCTACCACTAGTAGAAGGGCTACATGCTCTACTAATGTGAATAACAGTACCTACAGGAAATTACTGGTAATGCATTAAGATAACGTGTCTTACACATGCTTAATTTTTAGACAATTTTGGACAAAAAAAAAAAAAAAGACTATTATAACCAAGAAATGAAAAACCTTAAACCAAGTTGTACAATACATATTTCTATGGATTCAGCATAGTAATGCACAATTCAAATTATAACTCTGTATATGTATATATATAGTATATGTAAATAGGTTTATGTAGAGGGGAAAAGTAATTTCTTAGTAATAGTTGTTAGAGTGTTCTTCAAATAAACTCCTTTTTTCAGACAAATCCTTTGCATTGTTAGTTCACTTTATTGCAGTGGTTTATGAAATCCCATTTTAGGATTTTGAGCTGTATCAGGTTGATTAAATTCTTACTTATGGAAGTTACTCTTACTTACTTACTCACTTCTATCTATCCAGTACTTCCTGAAGAAAAGAGAAAATACCTTTCCAGGCTCTTTTTTTTTGTAATTGTCATTATTTTTGGAATTATCTGTAAACTTCATTTTCTTAATATTATTCTTCATCCTGGACACTGGAGCTGTTTGTTTTACATTTTTATATATTCCACTTCAAAACAGTCTTTATGGTTTTAGGAATGTGAGCAACTGAAAACCAGCTATTGATTGGTGCAGTGTGTCAGGGGAAATAATTCTCAACAGCTAGAACTGGCTTTTCTTTTGATGTTCCTACCATCAGTTTATGCTAGGTGTCTTGGTTAGGAATGTGGTATTTTTCACAACTAGTTTCACAAAAAATTTAAATTTAATTTCACAGTAAATCAATGTTGAATGTCTCTCGAGGAAATATACTGAAAAGGAGCATTCATGCTCTTGTTATGCAGCTGCAAACATGCTTGTGTGCACATGATTAATCATTATGCATATGCTTAGGACTTGGGAATATCCTTTATACCTGCCAAGTGTGGATGTTTTTTATATTTTACATGGTGTCCACATGTACTAAAATGTTGTGGTGTAGAGCCCAATAACTAACTCCACTCTGTGTAGCATTCTTTTACAAGGGACGCTAAAGCCAAATAACCAATTCAGTTTTAGAAATGAGCATGTAGGTAACAGGACTGTACATGAAAATGGAAATCAAATTAAGTAGGAGTTTGGTTAATGTTGAACTAAATAGGAACAAAAGCTGGCCTCCATCCAGCACAAGTGATAAGATACCTAATCCTTCTGCACACAGTATGACAGTAAGAAACTTCTTTCTAACCATGATCTGTTGTCGGTTTGTGTCTGTTCCTTAACAGACTTCAGCATGATTATATATTGCATGACCAGGGTCTCTTTCAAGTATTTGCCGCTTTATGAGTACATGAGCTCACTAAAAATATATGTGTATGTTGTTTGTAAGGCTAAAACCCCACAAATGTTTATGAGACATATTCAGTTACATTCTCATTTTGTTTAATACCATATTAAGGGTGGTGTTGGTTTTCAGCAAAACCCAAATGCATCTTAAAACTATAAACACCTGCTTCTTGCTAGCAGAAGAAATTTCCTCTGTGCTTCCTGTAGTTACAGGCTGGGGAATTTTTTTTTAGATCTATTACTTAGTTGATATTTGTTTCAATGTAATGATATTTTGTCTCAGGATAGTGGTTTGGTTTTAGGTAACCAAAAGAGGCCATCTAGTCTGCTTTGCAAGGGGCAGTATTACATGCTAGGAGGGAAGGAATTGTATATGGAAAACAGCTCGGCAACCAAGTGATTATTTATTTCATTTTGCTCTTTGGTTGGGTGGTTTCAGTTGTAACCTCTGTGTGCACCTCTGTGTGCTCAAGAACATTTGCAAATGAGCAACTTCTTCCTGCTATGTAGGGACTGTTTATCCTCATGGCTAAGAGTATCAACAAAGACCCTGAATAAGAATGCCTAAAAAGAATTTTATGCATGTTTGTAAACCAGTATCCCAGCACTGCATACTGCTGAAGCTGGGTTTGCTGATGATTCTGGCTTGCACGCAAATTACAAAAAAAACAAAAAAAAACAGGAAAGGCAGTTACAGCACAAAGCCCTTAAATAAAAAGGCCTCACAAACCTAAGTAGACTTATTGACTTCTTGGTAACTAGATAAATGCTGAAGTTGCCTTTGGAAAGTATTTTTATGTTGCCTAAGCATGTTTGAAAACACAGCACTTGACAGGCTTGAGGCGTGGGCCCATGCAAACTTCATGAAGTTCAACAAGGCCAAGTGCAGGATCCTACATGTGGATTGGTGCAACCCCCAGCATCAATACAGACTGGGGGATGAAGTGATTGAGAACAGCCCTGCCAAGAAGGGCTTGAGGGTACTGGTGGATGAAAAGCTGGACATGAGCCAACAGTGTGTGCTCGCAGCCCAGAAGACCAACTGTGTACTGGGCTGCATCAAAAGCAGCCTGGCTAGCAGGTTGAGGGAGGTGATTCTGCCCCTCTGCTCCACTCTAGTGAGACCCCACCTGGAGTCCTGCATCCAGCTCTGGAGCCCCCAGCACAGGGAAGACATGGACCTGCTGGAGCGGGGCCAGAGGAGGGACACCAAAATGATCAGAGGGCTGGAACACCTCTCCTGTGAGGAAAGGCTGAGAGAGTTGGGTCTGTTCAGCCAGGAGAAGACAAGGCTCCGGGGAGAACTTACTGTGGCCTTTCAGTACTTAAAGGGGCCTACAAGAAAGACAGAGGGAGACTTACCAGGGCCTGCAGTGACAGGACAAGGGGTAACAATTTTGAACTGAAAGAAGGTAGGTTTAGATCAGATATAAGAATTTTTTTTACAGTGAGGGTTTTGAGACACTGGAACAGGTTGTCCAGAGAAGTTATGGATGTCCTGTCCCTGGAAGTGTTCAAAGTCAGGTTGGATGGGGCTCTGAGCAACATGGTCTAGTGGAACATGTCCCTGCTCATTGCAGGGGCATCAGACTAGGTGACCTTTAAAGGTGCCTTCCAAACCCAAAGCGTTCAATCATACATGCATAGGCATCCAACTCACACTAATGCTCTGCAGGTGCTTCTAGCAAGCTTCTTGCTAGCCTGCAAATGCTTATTTCTGCTACATATGGAGAGGTGATTAATAAGTCATTTGCCATACAGCATAAATACTTGTAACTCATACAGCAGATATCACCCTGTCATAGCAAATGAAGCATCAACAGTTATTCCTTCTTTAGTTCCCACAGTCAGTGTCACACCTCTGCTTTCTGTTTTTATTTTGTTGAGGCTTGAGCCTGATCAGATCGCAAAAACAAGCAAACTGCTACATGACTGGAGGGGTCTCATACCAAGGCAACTGCAGCTCAGCTCTTACTGAATTTGGTATTTTTGTGCACATGGTTAGTCAGAACTTGCTACAGTTCTCAGTGTCTGCTTTTGCTGCTGTATTTGATGGCAAGAAGAAAGGCAGGACCTGTTAAAGCAGCAGCAGTTTATGGAGCCAACATCAGGCACAAACAGCATTTGCAAAGCAGGTTATAACTACTGAGCATAGCCATGCAGGAAAGCACAATGTGGTAGCCTTTTGAGGAAACTGAACTAGAAAAGTACCACAACCCAGACTGACATGTTTAAGCAAACAGGAAAAGCTAGCCATCTCTTCATGCTTGATACACCCTTGCATTTCTAACTGGGTAGGAAAATGAACAGCTTGTTTCAGGGGGAAGGGGAAGGAGTGAAAATCTGACCAAAAGAAATTAAACCCCTTGATGTCACATGCTGTTTCACCCATACCTTCTCCTCCTCATTCGTTCTTTTTTTTGCACAATGTCAGGGTTCAGCTGCATCATTTTCTATATGAAGCAAGCTAACAAAGTTGTGCCAAATAACATTTGGTGATGAGGAGATGTCAGGTGTTACACATGCATGAAAAGCTTGCTGACGTTCCAGCTATGCCAGCTTCATGTTGTGACAACATTGGCAGGGGCAAGGTTTGTAATCAGCGTGGTTTGTGTTGGCAAAATACCTCAGATAGTGGCTGTCATTGGTATAACTTACTTCACAGGGGAAGGTTTGCTAAATTTAGCATGGTAAGGATTTTGCAGCGATTGGTGCATTCACACTAGAAGCACTTTATCAGTTAATGCCAAGCATGCACCTGCTTTACAACCTGCTCCCTGCAGCTTGACTGTGGACAAATTATGGTCTTCTGGCTGTTAGCTCTGTTTCCCTATTTAGCTGAATCCTAGCCAGAAATGTGAGCATGGCTGCAAAGTGTGTTCATAATGTTTTTAATCGGGCAAACTGGATCAGGCCACTGGATCTCTCACTACCTGAGATGGGACCCAGAAATGGAAGAAGAGTATGACCCAGCTAGTATATCACCAGCTATGGCTTTGCACTGGAACTCTCCAAGAGTTGGGGGAGGAACAAGAAGGGCCTGGTGTGCTGGGTGCAATATTTAAGTAAATTCCTGGGTAAGACCTTCTTTGTTGATCACTTTCATCTATTTTGATCTGATCACAGTTTGATCTTGCAAGATGCTGAGCAGATTAAAAAATTAAAGTAACCTCTCACGTTGAAAATTAATGACCCGCATAAGTGCATTTTCATGGCATTTTGCATTTTGCAACTGCTACAGAAATGGTGAAGTGATAGCTATATACACCTGGAGAAGCTGAACAAATAGCATGCTATAATCCAAGTCAACACTAGAGAGCATAAAAATAACTAGGTATGGCTGTTGTAATTCGGCTTGTTAGGGAGGAGATCATTAGGAACCAGATCTGACCATCACGCTGAACTGCAAAATACTGATTAGCCCTCTAAACAAATGTGGATTTGGAAAGGTGAAAAAATATTGGAATTGTGTTGGAAAAGTGGGTGACTTTATTTTGAACAGAACATGTAAAAAGGTTCAGCAAAGTTTTTGGGAATAATTTTTCTTATCTTTGTGCTACCAGCCTTATAATAGTGGTGACTGTAGCACAACGAACAAGCCTCTCTCCTTAAAAGCAAGGCCTGACATCCAAAGCGTGGCACTAAGCTCAAATGCATTGCACACAGCGACATAACTCCATCAAGGTCAGAGCTG